TCAATTAAATGCTGTTTTTTGAGTTTTATATTCACCAAATAAAAAATGTATCTTGTTTTATTATTTTTTTTAAATAAACAGCTTAACTGTTTTCAGCTGTGATAATATAAAGAAATGTTTCTTGAGCAACAAATCAGCATATTACATTGAATTCTGAAGGATCATGTCATGTGACACTGAAGACTAGAGTAATGTGCTGAAAATTCAGCTTTACCATCCCAAAAATAAATTACATTTTAACATTTATATTCAAATAGAAAACACTTATTTTAAATCGTAATAATATTTCACAATATTACTGCTTTCATTGTATTTTAGATCAAATAAATGCAGTGAGCGTAAGAGACTTATTTCAAAAACATTTAAAAATCTAATTGACCCGAAAGTTTTAAATAGCCACGGTTCAGGCAGATTATTAAGGCCAATACATCTCTCAATGTCAGTTCTTGTGTCAAATAATAAAAAAAAAAAATCCTATTCAGTTTTGTGTGGTGCCTACAAGCAGTACATGATAAGTATTTTAAAAAATAATGTTTGATTTTCAAGTACATTTTTGTTCCTTTGGTATGACAAATAATTTTTTATGCATTTGGAGATGCATTAACATCCAAACAAATAAACCAAGAAAAACAGAACTAGTTCTCATCAAACATAATGCATCAAACTCAGGACTAATAAATAAAACTAACACGGAAGTCAGAGAAAATTAAATAAAATGTCTGCCACACCAAATAAGCTTGGATTTCTTACAATGACATGCAGAACAAGAAATATAAGTGCATGCGTGTGTGTGTGTGTGTGTGTGTGTGTAATAAACAGCACACCTGGCCTCTCCTTCCCTAAACTCATTGTTTTATGAGACAGCCAAGAATATCAAAACTAAAAATATTTATTGGGGAAGAAAGACTTTGGTCCTGTTTCTCGCCAGCTGCTGACCCTTGACTAATGGAACTGGGAAGGTGGTCCAAACTTCAAAAAACAAGTCGCTCAGAAGCAAAAAAACATCCCGCATTGCAGTTGAGTCAAAACTGGTAAAAGAGACAATGTGAATATAGGGGCAGGAATTTATGCGGCTTGAGGAGGAAAGACACAGCCTGTGTGTGTGTGTGTGTGTGTGTGTGTGTGCGTGTGTGTGTGTGTGTGCATGCGTGCGTGCGTGTGTGTGTGTATATCAAAGTCAGGTCAACACCACTATGGTTCTCAAGACAATAGATCAAGGGTGCTGGTACTTCTTTTAATGGGTCAAGGTGTGCAGCGGTTAACCTGTTTACTAAAGGCTAAACTGCTTTTGAGATGTGCAGTAAAAAGCTTATAGGTGACACCCAGTTAGATGGATAATCTGATAAAACATACTGTATACTATCTATTTACATATATAACATAAAAGTGTTTAATATTTTATAAGAGAGGCTTAATTCACCTAATAAAATAAACATGTACACTGCTATTCAATCATTTGGATATTAATACATTTATAAACCAAGGTTGCATTCATTTAATCAAAAATTACAGATAGCACATAATGTTTATAAATGACCTTTTATTTCAAACAAGTGCCATATTCTACACACTTCGTTCATCAAATAATGTTAAACTTTGTAGTTTTGCAGACCCTTGGCATTCAAGTCAGGTTATTCAAATAATCAGGTGCAGTTTCATCTCATGAGTTCATGAGTTCTTTTTCCCATTCTTCTGTTTTGTTTGCATGTCAGATGTGCCTTTGTGCCTTTGTATTTGAATCTCTTGCATCTTGTGTTTGCTGTGACCTGTTCAGTGAATCTGCCAGCTGTATCTGGGGCTTCCACTTCTCTTTCTGTCCTGGTTAAGTCCAGTTTGCTTTCTTAATTATAAATATAAGTAGCACAACCATTTGGAACTGTGTTGAGATAAAGGTTTCTCTGTAGCAAATTAACAGCACAATAGAATGATTGCTTTTGCATGACTTTACACAATGTTTCTTAGAAGACAATTAAATCATAGCTGCTAAAAATGGTAGACTGAATTATGAAACAGTTATTTTAAATAGTAATAATATTTTGTAACTTAAATCATGTATTTCTGTTAAAATGCCATTAAATGTGATCTTGGTGAAGTTTCAGTTTCTTTCAAAAATGCTCAAATGTACAATACTGGTCAACAATTTGGGGTTGGTTAAGATTTTAAAACGTTTTTATAAAGAAGGATTTTTTATGCTCACCAAGGCTGCATTTATTAGATCAAAAATACAGTAAAAACAGTAATATTGTAAAATATTATTACAATTTAAAATAACTATTTTATATGGTAATTTATTTTAAAATGTCATTTATTCAGTGATGCAAAGCTGAATTTTCAGCAACTATTACTCCAGGGCTGCGTTCAGCCCCGACAAAAACGGTGCAAACCGTTTTTTAAACGGAAACGGTGGTGCGTTGAACAACCTGTTCTGATGATGCAAGAGTTGCAACTATGGCAGCTGAGAAGGCCATTCTTTGTGTTCTTTTTGAAGAATTTTCAGAGCCTGATGAAAAATACGCTCGATGGTACAGTCACTGCCCTTGCCCTCCAGAATAAAAGAGAACATCCCAATCAAATGAAGGGATTTGTGGAAACTGTGGTTCCTAATTATTGTGATCCAACATTTGCCTCGCATTTCAGGATGAAAAGACAAACATTTCAGGTGAAGGATAATCCACTTCTTACCTCCAAGACTGTGTTATGATCTATGACCTTATTATTTTAATTGTGAGTATTAGGCTTATCATTATTGCTGATCACTGTTGTTGTGCTATAATATTGTAATATTTACCATTATATAATCAGAGGGGTATAGAAAAGTTTATGAAAGTGTCACTCCATAATACAATAGCAAAATATATAAATAGCTGCTGCTGATTGGGCTGACATGTTTGACACACCCACCAAACAAGAGAAAACGCATCTCAAACCCCGTTGCACACCGTTTCCAGGAAACATGTCGTTCAAACCGGAAACCGTAGCAAAACGGTGCACACCGGTTTGAGCTTGAACTTGCCCCAGTCTTCAGTGTCACATGATCCTTCAGAAATTATTCTAATAGGCTGATTTGCTGCTCAAGAAACATTTATTATTATTATCAATGTTGAAAACAGCTGTAATGCTTAATATTTTTGTGGAAAGAAATAATATTTTTTTCAGAATTCTTTGATGAAAAATACAGTTATTTATCATTTATTTTAAATCTTTTATTTAATGTATATATATATATATATATATACATTTTTGAACAGTACTGGAAAAATAGAATCAGTTGATTTAGTTGTAGGGATGAGAATAAAGGCAACATATTGAAGCATAACTCATCTGTTTTATAATATGCCGTCACACAGGCATCAGTGGTGGTATGTAGCTGTAAACAGGCACAAATTACTGTACATTTATGTTTAGGCACAGTTATACTATATGCAATTATGATCAACACACACAAAAACTGCTTTTTGCAGATCAACACATAGTCAGGGGTTCTTCTCTCTCTTACCCCATCCTCCTGAGGAAGAGCAAGAGAGAGGAAAGAGGGGGCATTGGCCTCAGGCTAGGGATAGCCCTCCATAGGGACAGCGATGAGGACCAGACCTGGATGTGGGCCCACCCTGAGCTCTGTATTACTGAAGTATTCAGGGTCTGAGATCCAGTCTGTGTAACTACCCATACACAGAGAGAGATAAACACAAAACACGCACACTGAGACTGTAAATAAACATGTATGTATCAGAGCTCAGAGGGCCAGTTAGGCCAACAAAGCCCTCTGTGATAAACTGTACTCCAAACGCCAGCCATGCCGAAACTAAACAGACATGGCCATCACTTCACCCTCAAAACCAATGAGGACAAGAGACTTGAGTGTCATCCAAATGCTCCACATAAAATTGTGACGACACTACAAAGTGTTTTTCCGCCTGTAATTGAGGTAAGGGAACTGTCATCATCACATTCACAAGTTTCCCACTACAGCATATTTTGGCATATGCATTATGTAACTGTGTACATGCTACATAAAATCAAACGCAAAATACACTTTTGTGCACTAAATGAAAGAGTCTGCATAAACCAATCTAAGATCTGAAGGAAGAAAACATTTTTTAATAAAAGGAATACTGTCATTTGAGTACATTAACACGGCGCCAAGGAAGCCGAGTATCATTTCAGATTTATCTTTTACAGTGGAATGCTAATCTTTAGTGCTCCCATAAGAACAAGATTAATTGGGTAATGGAAATAGTTCTGCATACTTACATGATTGGGATGCAAACCAAGATTTCATTTGGACTTTGCTTTGTGATATGACATCAAAGAGTAAAGAAAAACATGGTGATAACATTTATGGACGTATTTGTAGAGATTGTTATTTGAAGGAAACCATATAGCCAATACACAACAGCTTCATAAAGACTGAAAAGTGTAAATAGTAGTAAGTAGTTCTGGTAGTTTTCGTTTTGTATTATGTTGTGTTATGCTTTTTTTCTAATTATTTTTATATTAAAAAACGTAAGTTATTTTTCATTTATCTTTCATTTTTATGTTATTACATAAAAAGTTAACTTTCAGTAGACTATAGACTCTTGACTATATATATATATATCTTTTCATTTTTATTTTCATTTAAATAATTTATTTATATATTCATCATGAATAAAATATAAACTATTTGCTTGCTTGTTTGCTTATTTATTTATTTGTCTGTTTTCTTGTCTTACTACTCTGCAACTAATTCTGCCCATAATACAATCTTGAGTGTATTATGCTGAGTGTTGATAGTTTATTTGTGTTTATTTACTTTTTGGCCTTTCTACTATATATATATTGGAATTGTATTTATTGATTTGTGTGTGTTATTCTATTACGTAGATGCAATATTTCTGCCCATTAAGTTTTTTTGGACGATCTTTTTGTTATTATTTATATACATTTTAACTCCTCCCACACAAAGTTGTAAGAAGCACATGTGAAACGCCCACTGTCTAGCCTGCCTCTAGTGCGCATGCGCACATGGTTGACGTGCGCTGAGCGCTGAAGAAAAGGAACGGCCGGCGCCATGCACTGAGACTTCACAAGTGTCAAAACATAGATGTCGCGGGAATGTGAGAGCGTCACGTTGCCCTCCGTCAACTGGAATGAAAACGGCAGCGGAGGCCCAGGGGCAGCGTTTCTTTCAATTTCGCTTGTGGATACTTGTAGTGAAGTTGCAGACTGATACGGTAATATAGCGCTGAAACATGGAGGAAAACTCCAGGGAAAGCGACCGTCTGGAGCGAGAGCGCCAGTACTGCGAGCTGTGCGGGGAAATGGAGAACCTGATGAAGTGCGGACGGTGCCGCAGCTCGTTCTACTGCAGCAAAGAGCACCAGAGACAGGACTGGAAGAAGCACAAGCGGCTGTGCAAGGAGGCCGACAAGCAGCAGCAGCAGCAGCAGCAGCCGCCGGCTGAAGAGCGCAGCGCCGTACAGTACAACACTTCAGAACAGTCCAACACTTCTCAGAGTAACTCTACCGTTACGTCACCCGGCGAAAGAATGCCAGATTTTATCAAGTCCGCCACGGGCTCTGACACCAAACCGACCGCAGACAGTTTAAAACTCAACGGACAGACACGGTCACCTCCTCAGAAGCTGGCCACGGACTATATTGTGCCCTGCTTGAACAAGCACGGCATCTGTGTGATCGACAACTTCCTAGGTGAGGAAATCGGACGCAGTATTCTGGAGGACGTGCAGGCGCTTTACTTGAGCGGCGGCTTTACGGACGGGCAGCTGGTCAGTCAGAGGAGCGACTCGTCTAAGGACATTCGAGGGGATAAGATCACCTGGGTGGAGGGGAAGGAGCCCGGCTGTGAGAGGATAGCGTTTCTCATGAGCCGCATGGACGAGCTGATCCGACACTGTAACGGAAAACTGGGCGACTACAAGATCAATGGAAGGACGAAAGTAAGTAGAGACGTCATTGAAGGAAAAATATGGTGCAATCAGTGATTATGTGCTAATTTTTTTTTTTTTTTAAGTTTTATGCTTAAACAAATGAGCGATTTTGAGAAATATCATGAACATTTTGAGGATTGACCAATCAGGTAGAGCATTCATGATGAATATTAATATGTCTCCCACTAACATCCCACTGGAAATTTTGCATGATGGTCGCCCCCTCATGGGCGCCGCTATGTGGATGTCACATGACCAGGCACACCTGCTGCAAACCAGTAACATGCAAAAAAATCATTTAAAACTTAGCGTCTTACAAATATGTATTGGTTGAGGCAGAAGAATGCAACAATACAAAAAGTACTGAATTGTGGTTGTGAATCAGCAGTAGTTAGTAAACAAACATGTCTAGAGTCCAAAAACTACTAGTACTTGTGAATCCTAGTTCACACTACATGACTTTAAATGTCGGCAGATTGCTGTGCTGTTCAGACTACATGACTTGCTGTCTGTCTTGAAGTCGGATATTTAGCATGCTAGATATTTGTTTGTTGTCTACGAGGTGCCGGCTACACATCAGTGAGCCTCTTTGATGCTTCACTGAGTAGTTCACACACAAAGATTGCCGAGCGCTTATCACCTGCAGATTTTCCCCCGATCACAGCCCGACCTGTCGGCGAGCTCGGTTGAGGACAGACTGGGGAGGTACATAATCATCCAAGCTGAGATCCTTTCTGTTAGACTGAATATAGTGAATGTTTATGGGCCCAATGTGGATAATCCTATTTTTTTACAGAAATCTATTTTTAATATTGGCTGAACTGCCAGGATATTTTGTTATAGGAGGAGATTTTAATTGTGCTCTATATCCAGAATTAGATAGATCAACTAAATCAGACCTCTCTCATTTACAGATCAGAATAGAGTTAAAACAGTATATGCAAGATTTTAATTTAATAGATATATGAAGGAACAGACACCCGGATACTTTGACTTATTCATGCTACTCTAGCACTTATAAAACATTCTCTCGTATAGACTAATTTCCTAATTTCCAAAGTTAGTAAATGCTAGTATGATAGCATATTAATCTCAGATCATGCTGCAGTTTCATTTACATTAAACTTTCCTAATTTTTTATGCAGATCCCCAAGATGGCGCTTACATATAACTTGGTTGAGAGATCCCGAATTTTTGGAGTTCATTGATAAACAGATAGATAACTATTTTGAAATTAACACGAATCAAACATCTGCTTCAGTCAGGTGGGAAGCATTTAAAGCTTTTATAAGAGGACGAATGATTAGTTACACAAATTATAAATATAAGCGCTGTCAAGTAGAAATGGTAGACCTTGAAAGCAAAATAAAGAAAATTGAATCTGAAATATACCAAAAAATTACTCCTGATTCTCTTTTGGAACTGCACAAATTGAAAATTAAATATAATGAGCTTTCATTAGAACATGCAAAGAAAAGTTTGATGAGACTAAAACAGACTTATTATGAAGGTGGGGAGAAGGCGGGTAAGTTACTAGCCTGGCGTATTAAGCAGTTACAAACTGAAAGAGCCATAAATTCCATACAGATAAAGGAGGGTGAGATAACATTTGATCAAACTGAGATAAATTAGATATTTAGGAACTACTATCAGACTCTTTATAGCTCTGAATATTCGGAGAGTGTCGCAGAGAGACAAAAAGCTTTCCTGGATACTTTGGACTTTAAGTCCACAGATTTGGGTTTCATGAAGTGAATGTAACTTAACTTTTATTCTCGCTGTAGTATTGTTGTTGCCGCCGCCGCCATGTCGTGAAGGCACTGTGTTTCGTTGTGAAAGCAAAACTACTTCGGTTGGCCTTCCAAAAGAGGACGATATCCACTTCATCATGCCTGGAGCTGATCCGTGCTGGCCGCTGAGGAAATACATCATCTTCGTGCTGTCGATCGCCTCCCTCTACGCCACAGCATGCCGTCACAGGCATGCTTTCCGATCAGTAACGTACACCATGATCAGACTGTCAATAAAAACTATGCTACTATGAAAGAGAAACATTAATTCTTTAAGCATAAATGTTTCCATGGCTAAAGATAACTAGCATTAAGTAAAGAGTAGTTTTTACATTTGTGCATAAAGTGCCCCTATTGTGCCATTTTTAAGGTTCCTCCTAATAATGTTTTGGGAGTCTCCTACAATAGGTTTACATGCATGCAAGGTCAAAAAACACTTTGGTTTTCTCAAAATATGCATCACCTAATTTTCCAATGATTCTCAAACGATTCGTTCAAAGCAGCTTTAAGGTTCAGTCTCTCTAAACCCCTCCTTTCCGTGAGCCTACTCTGCTCTGATTGGTCAGATGGCCCAGTCTGTTGTGATTGGTCTACCATGTACAGTGTGTGTTGGAAACAATACGCACATTGCCATAGTTCTGTATTTTTAATGCTTGATGGAAAATATAAACATCAATTATTAATCATACTTACAGGTTGTGATTCAGTGGAGCCAGCTGGTCCAAATAAACTGTATTGAGCCATCTTTAAAGAGCAAGCATTTTGTGAATCCCGCGTTGAACTTCACGAGATTAGAGAAACAGTCGTCAGTACAATGACAGGAACACAAAAAAGATTGGTGTTGTACAGCTGTGGTACAGTGGGGAAAAAAATGAATTTTAACCACTGTTTCTTTGCATCCTCATCTTTTGGAAGTGAAAATAAAATGAATTTACTTCCACAGTGTAGGACACAGCGTCTTCTCAACATGATGTTAACCACATGAACAAGCTACAGTGTTTGAGGGTGGGTCAAGTTGTTTGTGGCCGGACAGCATAGAACATTATGCAAATGTGTTACCCTGTGACGTGTAGCCGTCACATAAGTGGTATTCGAATTACTGACGACTCAATTAGGCTGTTCAGAGTCGATTCTTTCTTTTGGTAGACAGTAACTTTATCGTGCACTTTCAGATTTACAGCTTTGCAGATCGTTTACATTCACATACAGCTACATTACACACTGCATGAAAGGCAATATTCGAAATGGCATAACGGACACGTTAAAGCATATGCTGTGAATAGCAGAAGGCTTGATGGGAAGTGATAGCACTTCCTGTGACAGCATATTTTTTTAATGTCATTGTGATGGTCGCAGATGTACAGCAGGGAAATTCAGGATGCTCAGCAGGCGTATGACATCGAATCGGTTGAAGGGGAAGAGTCTGTTACATAAGACACAATGAACGGACAATATGTTTGTTTTGTATTGATATTAAACTAGCTTTTAAAAATTATAAACGAGCTTTGTGGTTGTTAAATGTTGGAGGATCAGAGGCAGAGCATTTGCTCACCCTCATGTAGTTTGTGAAGGTGTTTATATTTCTCTCTTCTGTGGAACACACACACAAAAAGATATTTTGAGAAATGTTTCCGTGTGTTTTTTTTTTTATTATTGTCCATACAATGGAAGATCACCAAAACTGTTTGGTTACCATTATTTTTCAAAATATCCTCTTTTGTGCTCCACAGAAGAAAGTAAGTCATAGAGGTTTGGAACTACATGGTGGTGAGTCATTTTAAATGTTCATTTTTTTGGGTGAACTATCCCTTTGATGATTCCTTATTTCCATTAAATATTCTTATTTCTTTACAATTCTTTCTCTTTAAAATATGACTTGAAGTTGCAGACCTTGGTGTCAATTAACACTTTTAGATTTTTGATCAATGAGCTGTTAAAGGAAGAATCAATTTGTTAATGTTTTTAATTGTGTTTTGATACTGTGTTTTTGTGTTTTTTCTTCTGATAATGTAGTGCTGCATCTTGGCCAGGTCACTTCTGTAAGTTTTTACCAGGTTAAATAAAGGACAATAATAAGAATAATAAATAAATAATAATTATAGTCCTTTTGAGGAATCCTCCCACAGTAATTAATCACGTAGTTTAGACCCTGTTGGTATAATAATATTTAAAAAATAAATAAATGAAAACTAAAATAATTGCATAGTTTGGCCCCCGTAAATTAAATTAGGTGGTAAAAACATTAGGTGGTTCATCGTGTCCATGGTTCTTGCACGACTTTCAGCAGCAGCGTTCTCCTCTGAATCTTAAGTGTCATAGCATACCTAAGTAGTGAATGTGCATTTGTAGTCTGTATTGGTGCAATAAAAAAGACCATTTGTCTTGGCATACCTAAGTAGTGAATGTGCATTTGTAGCCTTTATTGATGCAATACAAAAGACTATTTACCACAAAATAATGGCAAGAGTTGTCTTCACACAAAAACTAACATATAACGCAACTGGTGTATTCCAATTCACAAACAAATGACTCGTACTTTTTTTTTCTTTTTTTTTTTGTGAATCAGAAATTTGCGGTGCAAATAGTGTAGCCCCATTCACAAATATATATATATATATATATAATTGAAATGCACATATTTGAATTTCTAAGTGGTCATGTTTACATTACGTGACCAGAGATATGCTGGCACTGGATCAGAATAGGCTGTTTTGAGCGTATTCGTTAGTGCAGTTCATTCCCTTTGGAAAGTCCCACCTCACTGGGAAGAATGTATAATATTTATTTGCATCTGCATCGACATTTAGTTACGCGCATTTTTGTTTTTGTTCCCTTATGTCAGGAAACCATGCATGCCACAAACAGGGATCTTATGAGATTGTTACTTGAAGGCGGAAAGCTGATGTGTAAAACAATGAACTATAATGAAGCCTGTTTTTATATTTTTGGTGCAAATGAGGGTTGGTTTATAGGGTTGGTGTGTGTGATGTTAGTTGCAAGTTGGGCCTGTTTTCCTCAGAAAAAGAAGCTTATGTGATTGACTTATCTTTTGGACATAAGTGTCGTCACTGGTTTCTCCTTGATGTGTTTGGTAATGGTGCAGTGTGGTGTCAGTCTGCCAGGGTCTCAGTGCTGGAACAGCAGTGTAGCTGCATGCTCTGCATGTACTACAGGGGTACTAGAACTGTCTACCTGGCTAAAGTCCTGCAGCTGACTTTT